ATATATACACACACACACACACACACACCTTGGAATTCAGGGTCACTTTATTAACAAGTAATCTAAAATTATTATCTCTCAAGCTCAATAATTAGAAATGCAGACCACTTTACACAAAGATATTTTTAGCCATAGACCCTCAATGAAAACTACTTTAATTCCTACCATGAATTTATCCAATAGATAGTAGACTAAACCACTAATGTACTCTGAAACAATAGCCTGCAAAGAGCAGTTCCAGACTGAATACTACTCACACAGCAAAACAAGAGTCCCATGACAATGTAAATAGTATTTCCAACTCACTTTGAGAAACAAAAGTTAATGGCTTGTAAAAAGTTACAGAAACAAAATTTAAAGACACACATTACTATACCATATAGCATCTTTCAGCCAAATTACCCTCATGATTTCTAGACATGAAAGATAGATTTGATGAGCAGCAAAACTATGCCAGTTTTTATTTAAATGGAAAAAACTAGAAAAATCAATTGGAGAGTTTCCCCCTAAAATAAAAAATCAATACAGGATTCCTGATTTTAAAACCAAAAGAGCTCCAGTCAGAATTTTATGAATTCGAAAGGGGTGAAATGTTTAAAGGGTAAATGATTTCATAAATTATTATTACTTTCACTATAAATAGAGGTTAACTCAGTGCTTTAGTTTAAATAAAAACTGAGTTTTGGGGCGCCTGGGTGGCTCAGTTGTTAAGCATCTGCCTTCGGCTCAGGTCATGATCCCAGGGTCCTGGGATCGAGCCCCACATTGGGCTCCCTGCTCGGCAGGAAGCCTGCTTCTCCCTCTCCCACTCCCCCTGCTTGTGTTCCCTCTCTCACTGTCACTTTCTCTGTGTTAAATAAATAAAATCTTTAAAAAAGTAAAAAAATAAAAAAAAAAAATAAAAACTGAGTTTTAAGTGTGTACATGTTAAACATTTAACTTTTAAATGTTAACATTAGTCTTCCCAGTTCCACTCAAAATTCCAAGTATACTTACTTTTGCTTACAGTAGTGTAATAGCTCAAGTAAAAGGCTATTTTTTTCTCATTTGTATTTCATAATCCCTATTTCATATATTTTTTTTACCATAAACCTACATTTCTGAGTTTTTAAAAACTAAAATACTAATAAAAATCAAGTTAACTCTAAGCTAAAAGCTTTAAAAATGTAACACTTATTTTGGAAAGTTCTCTATTAAAAGCAAACTAGCTTTAGGGTACCTGGATGGCTCAGCTGGTTAACCGTCTGCCTTGGGCTCAGGTCATTACCTCCGGTCCCAGGTCAAGCCCAGCATCAGGCTCCCTGCTTAGCTCTTCCTCTCCCTCTGTCCCTCTACCCTGCTCACTCATGCTCTCTCTCTCTCTTCCAAATAATAAATAAAAATCTTTATTTGTATTTTCTCACCCAGAGTTACTATTTAAAAAGCTGCAGTTAAATGAGATGATATAGTTTCCCACAATTTAGTTTACCAGAACTCTAGCCACATGAATACTGAAAGCAAAATTTAACAACTACTTACTCAAAATTCCTAATGCCCTTAAGGAAAATATATGGCACACATCTCAGCAACACAGCAGAACATACCTGAATCTCTCATGTAATGAATTTCATCAAATACGACCCACGCTACTTCTCGCATAACTTCAGAACCTCTGTACAGCATGCTTCTCAAAATCTAAAAAAACATAAAACAATTGAGCAAAATTTTGACACAACAAAAGTTCTTTTTGACGAGGAATTTTGGAAATGCTTTAATGGAGACATTAAAATAATTTAGGTTACTTCTCTTACATATATCTCATAAATCAAATAATATTCCTTTTCTCATAAAACCAAAATAAATGACTTCTCAACAGTTAGTAATCAGGTGCAACTCATGGGGAGAATTATCACCCCATCTGCATATATCTTAAGTATGAAGCCACTTCATTGTACATGTAACACTCATTACAAGATCCACACTATCTAGGATATGAGAGTAACTTATCTCCTATTCAACATTTGGTACTTTATACAGTTTACTGAATTTTTTCTACTTCATCTCACAACATGGATACTCTCTGGCAACCAGTATCCTGATTTTTTAGTTAAAGAAAATCTTCCACATATGGAAAAAAGTTTTGGGAATGGAAACTTACTTTGGGCACCAAAATGAAAAGTGAGCAATGCTTTTGGCTAGCTCTGCAGGCCAGAAGTTAATTTATGCTCTCTACAGTACCATGTCCATGTAAAATGCAGGGATATAATTCAAGAATGTATAAAAGTACTTGGTATAGCCAAGATGGCTAATTGTGTTCAAAACACAAGATATTATAAGTATGTAAGTTTTAAGTAAAACCTAACTATGACTATGGGAAGAAGCTTAACTTAGCTGAACATTTTTCAAAAAGTTATTTGTGTATTTATATCAACTAAAATGCAAAAATAAAAAATCAAATGAAAGGAAAGCCACTACTTATATTAAACTGTATGCAAAACTGTCAATGTATTTCCATGTCACTGACAATAAGCCTTTAAAAATATTTGGTGAAAAAATTCTATGTCATATGACAAGTAACAGGATTAATAATTTACAACTAAATTTATATAATTACTAAAACCTTTTAAGATGAACTTTTCCTTTTCTAGTAAATCTACTAGGAAAATAAAGTATTACATTTTATCTATATAGAGCAACTGATAAAGCATCATATGTTCTAATTGAAGATACATTAATTAAATTAAAATTAAAAGGGAAAAACTGGATGAAGCACCATATAAATTACCTCTGTGGTCATAACAAGACAAGATGCTGTAGGATTAATAGTAACATCTCCAGTCATCAAGCCAACATCTTGAAATTCTTCATACATTTCCCGGTATTTCTGGTTACTCAGAGCCTTAATTGGGCTGGTAAATATTACACGTTGTTTTTCCCTTAAGGCCAATGCAATGGCATACCTAAAAATGTGAAAGCAAATAAGAATAAAGCATTCAAAACCTTTTCTTTAAAGTACGTAAATTTTAAAATTCTATTAATACAGAAATTATGTCCCAACTTCCCCTAATTATCTTAAATGGACTTAGCAGAACATTAACATCTTGTTCTATTTACTAATGACAAACTATTAAAGTAATAATTATTCTAGTAAATATGAAGTGTAGTGGTCTAAATAAACAAAAATATTTAACTGTGGTCTATTGGAATTAATGTAACTTAATTGCTAATACCAATAAGTTACTAATGGTTACCCTATTTCTTGGAAGTAAAACACTTTTTCTATAAATGGGCCTCCAAAAGTTGAGAGCCTCTGCCTGTCAGTTTATACATATATAAACAATTAGCAAACACTGGAAAATGAAGTTTTGTTCTTCTGAGTTTCAAAAATAAGTTCATCCGTATGTATTCTTTCCCCACATGCAATAATTATCAAATCATTCCTTGCCGGGGAATTATGATGGGTTCTAATTTTGGAAAAGTTCTTCCATAGCTATTAACAAAATGCAATATAGTTTTGTTTTTTTAAGGAAAATTCTATTAAGTATTTAAATAAAGACCATGAAATGATAACTAAGGTTAGCACTGTAGTAGAGTCTCCTTGTTTAAAATATAATCCTGGCCCACAACAGACTCATAACCTATTTGGGGAAATAAAAATAATATTCATCACAGCTGTATAATCATATTCCCCAAATAGTGAAATAAACAAATAATTAAAAGTATCCAAACATGATCAAATACATAGTTTAAGAGAGAGATATGAAACAGAAAAGGATACAGAGATGCTACAATATATTATCTAAACTGTCCACTTTTGAACAAAAAATTAGAAGATACAAAAAGAAACAGGGAAGAATGATCCATACTTAGGAAAAAAAGCAGTCATGAGAAACTAATTCTTAGTGGGTACAGATGTTGGACTTTGAGTAGACAAAGACTTGAATGCAGCTATTAGAAATGTGCAAAAAAATGGAAGGAAGGCATGTTCTAAGAATGAGAAGAAATAGAGGGTAATTATTCAACAAACAGGCCATCGCAACAGAGAGGCCGAAACTATGACATAAATAAATGAAAACACTACAGATGAAAAGTATAACTAAAATGAAGAATTCACTAGATGGGCTCAAGAGCAGATTTGAGATGACAGAACAGTGTCAGTAAATATGAGGACAGATCAACAAAAATGATCAAATCTAAAGAAAGAAAGATACAGAAGAAAAAAAGAGAGAACCTCAAGTGTCCCAGCGGAAGTTCAAAAGTGAGAAAAAAGTATCTGAAAAAATAACAATGAAAACTTCCTAAATTTGTTTTAAAAAATATTAATCTACAGAATCACACCTAGAGACACCATCAAACTCTGAATAAAAAAGACAAACAGAAAGTCTTCAAAGCAGCAAGAAAACATTAAACACTGGGAAACATTCAAAGACCCAAATCAAAGTTTTAGAGACGAAAAATGCAATGTCTGGGGCGCGTGGGTGGCTCAATCGTTAAGAGTCTGCCTTTGACTCAGGTCATGATCCCAGGATCCTGGGATCGAGCCCTGCATCAGGCTCCCTGCTCGGCGGGAAGCCTGCTTCTCCCTCTCTCACTCCCCCTGCTTGTGTTCCCTCTCTTGCTGTGTCTCTATCAAATAAATAAAATCTTTAAAAAAAAAAAAAGAAAAATGCAATGTCTGATTTGAAATACACTTGATAAAAATAAAATCAGATTAGACATTGCAGAAAAAAGATGAATAAACTTGAGGACCTATCAAGAAAAGCTGTCCAAAGTGAAAAAGAATCAACTCCAAAAAATAATAAGAAATAGAGTATAAGTGGGCTGTGAGACAAACTAAAGTGGCATGATAGAAGTGAAGTCCCCAAAAAACTAGAAGGAATTATAAACATATAATTTATGTTTCAAATAAAAAATAGCTGAAAGTGGGGCGCCTGGGGGGCTCAGTCGTTAAGTGTCTGCCTTCGGCTCAGGTCATCGTCCCAGGGTCCTGGGATTGAGCCTGCACATCAGGCTCCCTGCTCAGCGGGAAGCCTGCTTCTCCCTCTCCCACTCCCCCTGCTTGTGTTCCTTCTCTCACTGTGTCTCTGTCAAATAAATAAATAAAATCTTAAAAAAAAAAAATAGCTGGAAATATCCCAAATGTGATAAAAAACTATAATAAACACACAAATCTGAGAAGCCCAACAAACTCAAGCACAAGAAACATGAGAAGAACTCTGTAAAGTCACATCATAATCAAACTGCTTCAAAAGAGTGATAAGATTAAAGACAGCCAAACATCCCATCAAAGCAATATGCAAAGAAGCAGGAAAATACTGACCTATAATAAAGGGAAAAGTCAATCAAAACAGATGAGGAAGTAACCCAGATGAAAAAAGCAGCAATAAGGAATTTAAACAGTTTGTAACAGTAATCCATACGTTCAGGAAACTAGAAGAGGGATGCCTGAGCAGCTCAGTTGGTTAAGCATCTGACTTTGGTTCAGGTCATCATCTCAGGGTCCTGGGATTAAGCCCCACATCAGGCTCCCTGATTGGTGGGGAGTCTGCCTCTCTCCCTCTCCCACGTTCGTGCGCTCTCGCTCTCAAATTAAGAAAATCTCAAAAAAAAAACACCAAAAAACCCCAAAACAAACAAACAAAAAAACAAAGAAGCTAGAAGAAAGTTAAGTAGAAAGTAGAGGCATGGGATGTAAAAGATAAAAACCACACACACAAATGAACTTCTACCAAGGAAAACTATGGTATGAGATGAAAATGCAATGAATGGATTAATGACATAATAGACAATTAATGAAATGAAAGATACAGCATTAGAAAAGGCCCAAAATTAAACACACAAAAATGGAACATACTATCAGTGAATCATGAGACAACTATAAGTGGCCTAATATAATCCTAATTAGAGTCCTCAAAGAAGAGGTGCCATAGGGAGCAATGAAAAACAAACCCAAAGCACAAGAAACATGAAAAAAACTACACCAAGCCTCATCCTAAACAAACTGCTTAAAACCACTGATAAAGATAAAATCGTGAAGTAGCCTTAAAGTATCTGCAGAGGAACAAGGTAAGGATGATAGTGGATTTCGTCATAAACTATACAAGTCAAAAGGTACTCTTAAGAGAATTAGAATTCTATATTAAGTGCAACTATCTTTCAAAAATGAAGACAAAATAAAAGGTATTTTAGACATGCAGAAGTTGAAAGAATTTTTCATCAGGAGATTTGTACTACCATAAACTGTAAAGGAGTTTCTTCAGAATCAAATAACATATCAAAACATATCAAATTATTTTGAAAACATATCAAAAGCATTTCCCAAATATACCAAATCAAACATAACAAAATCTATGTTGCAGCTACAGCAATATTAAACAAAAATTTATACCACTAAATGCCTGTATTAGTAAAAGAAAGGTCTCAAATCAGTGTCTTCCACCTTTCCTCCCTAAAAAACTAGAAAAAGGAAGAGCAAATGAATCCCCCAAATCCAAATCTAAATCATAAAATAGAAAATAAGAAAACAACAGAGAAAAATCAGTAAAACCAAAATCTTGTTCTTTGAGAAGATCAGTATGACTGGTAGACCTTTAGCAAACTAATCAGTAAAATATAGAGAACATTACACTGATACCAAAACCAGAAAAAGACATTACAATAAAACTATAGCCCAATACCCTTCATGAACATAGATACAAAAATTCTTAACACATTTTTAGAAGATCTAATCCAATAATATATCTACCAACAGGAACTTTTTTGGGGTTCCTAGATCCCACTGAAACATGGGGGTCTCCCCTACTCACACACCAAGCAATTCTTACTAGCAGGGTGTCTTGAGAATTCAATTAAATTCTGATACTCCCCAGAGATAGCATCAGATTATACAACTTAAGGGCTCAGTTTCTCAAAGACTGCCCTCCAGCCCCAACTTCAGATGCCAGTAGCAAGCCCCAGGCCAGTTACCTGTGCTTCTGACCAACTGGCTTCAGATTGAAGGTTCCAACAACTTCCTTCTTGGTATAGAGCATTTTGCTAGAGCGGCTCACCAAACTCAGGAAACACTTAACATTTATCAGTATATTAAAGACTATAAATCAACAACCAGATGAAGAAATGTATGGGGAAAAGACAAAGAGCTCCCATGCCCTTCCTATCCAGGTGCACAGTCTTCCGGAACATCTGTTCCAGGAACATCTGCACATGTTCCCCAACCTGGAAGCTCACCAACCTGAGGCCTTTTGGGTTTTTATGGAAGCTTCACTACATAGTCATGACTAAGTCATTAGCCATTGGTTGATTCAACCCCCAGGCCTCTTCCATCTATCCTCCCTAGAGGTCAGGCGAGAGGGTTGGTGGAACTAAAAGTTCCAACCCTTTTATCACACAGGTGGTTCTCCTGGCTACATCCAAAAGTGACATCATTAACCTAACAAAAGACACCTTTATTGCTCTTATTACATGAAATTCCAAGGGTTTTAGGAACCGTGACTCAGGAACCATGGATGAAGACCAAATAAATACATGAAATATATATCTGGTCATTCTGATGACCAAATATGTATTTCTTATCAATCACAATATTGTGGTTTATTAATAGGGTTTTATGTATCACAACCTTGCAGGGTTTATCTTAGGGTGGTTTATTATTTGAAAATTATGTCTTCATCATAGTAACAAAAAAAAAGCATTTGACAAAATACGATAGCTAAATATTCTGTATGCATATATATACACACATACACAATTACATGCAAACTTGGAATAGAAGGAAGGGAATGTCTTCAAGTTGATAAAAGGCATCTATGAAACACCTACAGATAATAGCATGCTGATGAAAGACTTAGTATCAGGAACATGGCAAAGATGTCCTCTCTCATCACTTCTACTCAACATTGTACTGGATGTTCTAACCAGTGCAATAAGGAAAGACATTAAAAGTATTTAAATTAAAAAGAAAAAAGGAAAAGTGTCTTTATTTACAGAAATCAAACAGAAAAACTTAAACTTTTAAACGGTGAAATAAGAAACAATTGTTTTAAAAAATTTCATTTAAAAAGCAGAAGAACAAGAAAAGAATGGGACAGAGGAGCATAAGACATCCAGAAAACAATTAACAAAATTCCTCCAGTGAATAGGTACTAATATACCTATTAGTAATTACTTTAAATGTAGACAGACTATATTCTCCAATAAAAAGACAGTGTGGCTGAATGGATTAAAAAACACACTCAACTACATGCTACCTAAAGAGACTCACTTCAGATGGTAAGGACACACACAGACAAAGTGAAGGAATGGAAAAGGATATTCCAAGCAAATGGAAACCAAAAGAAAGCTGGGGAAACTATACTTCTATCAGACAAAACAGACTTTAAAACAAAGACTATAATAAGAGATAAAGAACAACATTACATAATAATAAAAGTGTCACTCCAACAAGAGGATGTAAGATTGTAAGCCAACAAAGGAACACCTACATATATAAAGCAAACATTAACAGACCTAAAATTTCCTTTAAATAGAAAAGCTACTCACTCAGCGCATACAGTTTTTCCTGCTGATGTATGTGCAGATACTAAAACAGACTGATTATTATCAACACACTGAATGGCTTCTCTTTGAAAAGCATCAAGAATGAACGGGTATTCCTATAAAAAGAAAATAATATATCTGCATGAAAATTATCATACCATATCAGAACACACTTAAAATCAAGAGATGCTACCCCCAGAAGCATTCTGGGAGCATTTCTTTATGATTCTATTTAGGAAATATACCACCCAATAGAGAAAACTAGGAAGAGTAAAAAAAACACCTTTAACTAAACAGCAAAGAAGTTAGTTCTGCTGTCTATAATCTTTCAATTAACTTTGCTAATACACACATTATATTAGTTACAATATAGTAACATTACCATTTATCAACAACATGTTTTGTGGTAGGCACTGTGCAACACATTTTCCATATATTATTATTACTAACCTTCACAACAACCCCTAAAATAGGTATTCTTTCCTTTCACAGATGGGAACTCTGAAGCTCTGAAAAGCAAAGTCCCTCACTTAAGTTCACTCAGCAGAGGCAGAATACTACACATCTACTAGACTTTAAAGATTTCATACTTGGGGCGCCTGGGTGGCTCAGGCGTTAAGCGTCTGCCTTCGGCTCAGGTCATGATCCCAGTGTCCTGGGATCGAGCCCCGTATCGGGCTCCCTGCTCAGCAGGAAGCCTGCTTCTCCCTCTCCCACTACCCCTGCTTGTGTTCCCTCTCTCACTGTCTCTCTCTGTCAAATAAATAAATAAAATCTTAAAAAAAAAAAAAAAAAGATTTCATACTTACTCCACCATTCTACCTTCTTCATTTAAAGAAAATATGATTTGGAAAATTTCTATTAATCATTTCAGTTCTTTCAGAACTTCAAAATCCATTTAATACAAGCATTAGAGTTTAAATTTCATTAGAAGTTTGTTAAACTCCCAAAACTGTATGTATAACTTATTGTACACATGCTTTTTTCCTAGACAAAGGCTGATAATTTTCATTTGATTCTTTAAAAAGGAGGAAAATCATTACTTTCATTTTTAAAAATCTCATCACATGATGCTTTTTTTTTATCATGGCTATTTACTGATTTGCTTCTTATTATACTTGACTTCAGGTGGCTTCTTCTTGGTTTATATACACTGGGAAGTATAAAAATCTCATTTGGAAGAGTTTATCTAAGGGGCTCCTGGGTGGCTCAGTCATTAAGTGTCTGCCTTTGTCTCAGGTCATGATGCCGGGGTCCTGGGTTCGAGCCCCGTATCAGACTCCCTGCTTGGCAAGAAGCCTGCTTCTCCCTCTCCTGCTCCCCCCGCTTGTGTTCCCTCTGTCAAATAAATAAAAAAAAAAACTTAAAAAAAAAAAATAAAAGAGTTTATCTTTAAGATTTTTAGAAAAGAGACACAGAACTGTACAAACTGTATTGTCTAACGTACAGACCTTTGCAGCTTTTCCAACTCGAGGTTTAAGTGGTAAATAATCTTCATCTGCAGGAAGTGCAACCTGATGTTAAAAAAAAAAAATCACCAACTTACTATTTGGAGAACTGATACATTCAACACTCCATAATTAATGACAGTTTGAAAAATACAAGGGATAGTGTTCGATACAGTCTTAGACACTGTAAAATTAAATAACTTCCTTTAAGAACAAGTACTAAAGCTAGAATAATCAAAAAACCTCTACCTGTGTTTATCTAACGGTAATGTAATTAAAACCTTTTAAGTTTATCTTCCTGAAGAAATTGTGTTTATTAAGGTCTAGGACCTATCCTAGCTATCTTTGTATTTTCCACAGCCTGATACTAATGAAAGCTCAAAAAAGCTGAATGGACATAAAAAGGATGTTCCTATATGAAAGAAAGCTATGCAGAATAAAATACTATTTCCTAAAACAGAAATTTATTTTCCTCCAGTGAAAATTAAGATCCGGAGAGCAGTTCATAATGTATCTAAATTCCCAAGAATTAAACCATTTAGTATATAAATCCAGAGGGGCAAAATAAACTACACACAAAGATTAGAAATAATTTATAGGAACAATACTTCAATAAGCAAGTATTACATGAAATTACTCATCTTAGAAATACTAAGAGATTGTGGGTAAATTTCCAACTTGATTATAGCTGACCCTTGAACAAGACAGGATTTGGGGCAACAACTTCCCCCAGCCCCTCTCTGCACAGTCGAAAATCCATGTGTAACTTTTGATTCCCCCAAAATTTACCTATTAGTAGCCTACGGTTAACCAGAAGCCTTACTGATGACATAGTTAATACATATTTTATATATATACTATATTCTTAAGATAAACTAAGCTAGAGAAAAGACTATAATTAAGAAAATCCTAAGGAAGAGAAAAACACATTTATAGTACTGTATTTATAAAAAACTACCTACTTTTAAGTTGACCTGCGCAGTTCAAAATCACTATGTGATTTTACAATCACCCACATATATAAATATACATATAATCACATTATAATCACAATATGTGGGTAGTATTTCAAAAAAGACTAATAAGTAGGGGGCGCCTGGGTAGCTCAGTTGATAAGCGTCTGCCTTCGGCTCAGGTCATGGTCCCAGGGTGCTGGGATTGAGTCCCATATCGGGCTCCCTGCTCGGCGGGGGGGCCTGCTTCTCCCTCCCCCACTCCCCCTGCTTGTGTTCTCTCTCTCACTGTGTCTCTGTCAAATAAACAAATAAAATCTTTAAAAAAAAAAAAAGGACTAAGTAGACCCTGATTATAATTAAGAAAAGTGAAATTTAGTAAATTATGAAACCTAATGAATAATACCCAGTATAATGAATGTGTTAGAAGAAATGTGACATTCTAAATGGAATCATAAAGGGGAGGCAAGAGTTAGAATTTGGTATTTTATCCTGCACACATTAAGAAAGAGTAAATTACCAAGTGTTTTTACTAATGAATGAATACTTCCAGGGGACACAATAGTTTTCATTAGTCTTTCCCTTAATACTATATATTCCCCTTTATTAGGATTCTAAGAAACTTCTAAATAGTTTCCGATTCCCAGGTAGTTTGTTAGACAACTACTTATCCTGAATTTCAGGAAATGTCATGCTTTTGTATACCTCCATCTCTTACGAATATGATCAAAGTGAGTCTATCCAACAAAGCACAACCCTTGGTAAACTGACAAAATCAAATTTCTAGATCTAGAAATCTGAAGCCTAGAACCCAGATCATGGTATGATTCCCATACAATATTATCAACTTATAGTGCTGTATCTGATGAGCTAAGTGACCCTCTCACATCTCTTCTGGTACTTTCTATGACATGAACAAAGAACATCAGTGGGGAGCAATTAAGATTTTAACTTCTTTAAGATTTAACAGAAGAAAGAACAATAGATTGTGTTTTCACTTGTACGAGAATCAAAAAGTTTTTGTTTTTATTTTCTGAAAACAGTCTGGGTAAGACAAACATATGACAGGAAAGACACTAAGGAGTCAGAAAAATAGAAAACCAGCAAAATGATCAAGAGTCAAATAAACCTACCACATAGTCACTGGTGATTTTTGCCACAGCAGTTTGGAAGAAATGGAGAAGAAATCTAATTGCAGTATATTTAAAAATGAATGGCAAGTTAGAAAGTCTAGCAGGGATCTTCCTAGCAGAGCAGTCAAAAGTAATTCTGAAAAGGGACCACATCTCTTTTATCTCTTTATACTCAGTGAATAATACAATGTTCCCAACATTCAAAAGATATATACTGAATTAAAGACTACAAAATGGGGGAAAAAAACCCCCACAACAACATAGTGGCTGTAAAGCAACCCAGAATAAAAGAAGCTTCTGAATATTCATATGCTGATAGGAAAGGGCAAATAGAGAAGAGATTTGACGCTAGAAATAGTCAAGGGAAAATGGAATGATCTAAGTCTTTGTGAAAGCAAGATAAGTTACAACCAAGAACACTGGCAAAACAAGCCTCCTTAGCATTGCCTTTTCCTTTGAGTGGATGTGACAGGTGTAGATAGGCATGGCGAAGGAGGTTATAAACAGAGGACACTCCAACTTGATACCCTCAAGCCTCTAAAGGAAGTAAAAGGTAAAGTTAGCTGCAAAAAGTGAGAAGTGACAGAGGAGGGATTGCAGAGAATTGTGAAGGAAAGAAAGAACTTTTGACCTCTAAAGAGCAAATTTTGTGCCCCCTTGCTATCTTTTTAAGACCAGAGCTTTGAATAGGGTCTAACATAAGTACTGAATGAATGATCAAATGGGTATTACAAATGCCAAGTTAAGTGCTATTCTAAAGGAACATAAAAGAACTTATGAAAACAAGTGCAGAAGAACAGGTATTTTACTTTTTAAATTTTTTTTTAAGTTTTTATTTATTTATTTGAGAGAGAGTACAAGCTGGGGAGAGAGGCAGAGGGAGAGGGAGAAGCAGACTCCCCGCTGAGCAGGGAGCCTGATGTGGGGCTTAATCCCAGATCCCTGGGATCATGACCCAAGCCAAAGGCAGATGCTGAGCCACCCAGGCACCCCAAGAACAGGTATTTTAAAAACAAGGTTCTAATGTCTATTCTAAATGTCTATCAAAAGCCATTTTTCTCAATTTGGAATTATTGTGCTCACTCAATAAAGACTTTTAATAAGACTTACCAATTTCCTGCAATAATAAGTTCTAAGGTCATATTGTAAAGACAGAAGGCTTAGTAACTGTGTTACAGTTCCCTCATGTCCTTAATGTTTATAAATTCTTACTTCTAAAGGGTTACTAAAGCTATCAGAGACTACCACCTTCTGGCGAATAATGAAATGGCAACATATCATTTAACCAGAGAAGAAATGAAAAAGCATGTGACCTGTAAAATGGCACTGTTACCTGACTTCAGGAGTACCGAACATCTACTCTGTGCCAGGTCCCTTATGCTAATTTTCTTCTGTAATCTTCACAACCGCCCCATGAGGTAAATCACATTATTCCAAATTTAAAAATTAAAAAAACAATGTCAAAAAGGTTAAGCAATTAATCTAAGACTGTAGTTAGATAAAATGCTGTGTCAAGATCTGAGTTCAGTTTAGAATACAAAGCCCCAGCTCCTTCCACTGGACTATATACCCCATAGGAACTACTAATATTGTTTCCAAAGCCCCTAAGACTAAACTGCTTGCTAATGATCACACCAGACAGCCAAAAGCAAACTCCCAATGATAACACCAACTTTCTATATATTCTTTATGCTTACCTCATGTGTACACCCTTCGACAGTTTCAACAGATTGTACCTTGACTCTGGGCATCAAGTCTGCCAAACTTAAAAAAAAAAAATTATTGAAGTTACATTAAATTATTTTTCTATAATTAGATAATAAGCCTCCAGTCTGCACTGTTAAGGAAAATGACACTGCCCAATTATCAGTATTAAAATCAGAAAAAATCTGCTATTAAGAATATTCAAAAAATTTTTCCAATTACTCAAATCTATGCTGAGAATTCAAAATAATCAGTTAACATCTATATTTACAAATAGAGTACAGATGCCAAGTGAATTATTTAAAGAAATGTACCAGCTTAGTTCCAGTAACTATTAAAAAAAAAACAACAAAAAACCACCCCTCCAAAGCATTGTCACTACTTCAAAACATGAAGCTGGTTATAAAAACCATTACATGATAGAGAGTACAAAATAAACTAGCTTAATAAAGACGTTGCTATAATTTATAGAAGTGTTCCCTATTCTCTTCAAAATCCTAAGTTCTTATCTAGGTTCTGTTTAGACTCTGAAAAGGACAGGACTGTGGATAAACTGAAGAAAAATCATACTTTGGACAAAACCCAAGGGTTACTACAATAAGCAACAATGATTTTAAATTGCCAATATTATATTGTAACCTATTCCACTAGCTTTGGAAAACGGTGCATCTGAAATATTTCAGTGACACATCTACCACCATTAATAGTAGCTATTTGCTAGCTACAACAGCTAACTGGTTTAAAAAATTCACAGAAAGAGTAAATTCTTCATGGTTGTGCCAAGCCAAAATATGGCATAACAAGAAGAGAGAAGCAAAGCTGTGAAGATTCATCACCGCAATAACAAACGGGTCAACCTAAGTAAGTGGTATCAAATTCTATTTCTCTTCTAGAAGAGAAATACCAGCTATTTCAGTCACAGATATCCATGGGTCTCCGTCACTGATAGCAGTCTTGAGATTCATAGCCACTCTACTGCAACATGTAAGAATTCCTCTTAATATTCCTCTTAATATTCCTTCTCACTTATACTTTCCATTGGGTCTGTTTTATTCTTTCCATTTATTCTACTCTCAGTGATCCTCTCCTTGGGAGATTAACAAATAAAGGAAATATGGGCGTATTTTTCTTTAAAAAAAAAAAATCAGGCTTCAGGATTCTTTCTCAAAGTTGGGTTCTAAAACAGTAAAAGATAAATCTTTTCTATATTGTCTTCCATTTCCCCAAACTTAGACAGATATTCTATATTTTTGTATGAATATAACTAAAAAATATTTTTCTTCATTTCTTCAATTCAACAAATACTTTTTATAAAGTAGCAACATGTAAGTAATTTTCCAGATTTCATGCAACCATCTAATTTAAAAGTTACTAACATTTATGACAATGGAAATAGTACCTTAAATCTTCAGTTACTGATTCTTCCACCCTAGGCTTCTTTCCAAAAATGGGTTCATCTGTGCCCTCAAAATCTGCATCTCTCTTGGATTTTCCAATATTAGTTGACTCTGATTGCAATTTACCATCAAAACGTTTCCTGAAACGTAAATGGTTTAGAATCAATTCTGCAGTATTAGTTATTCCTTCCAGTGATTTTATAAATTATTATTCCATATATAATAGATGCCATTTATAGAAAGTCATGCAAGCAGATGTTACAAATCAAAACTAGCTAAAGCCCAGAATACCCTAATAAAACTGAACAGTACCACTGGATATTTACCCCAAAGATACAAATATAGTGACCCGAAGAGGTACATGCACCCCAATGTTTATAGCAGCAATGTCCACAATAGCCAAACTATGGAAAGAGCCAAGATGTCCATCAACAGATGAATGGATAAAGAAGAGGTGGTATATATATATATATACAATAGAATATTATGCAGCCATCAAAAAACAAAAAAAAACAAAACAAAAACCCACACGAAATCTTGCCATTTGCAACGTTGTGGATAGAACTAGAGGGTATTATGTTAAGCGAACAAGTCAATTAGAGAAAGACAAGTATCATATGATCTCACTGATATGAGGAATTCTTAATCTCAGGAAACAAACTGAGGGTTGCTGGAGTGTGGGGGATGAGAGGGATGGGGTGGCTGGGTGACAGACATTGGGGAGGGTATGTACTATGGTGAGCGCTGTGAATTGTGTAAGACTGATGAATCACAGACCTGTACCTCTGAAACAAATAATACATTATATGTTTAAAAAAAAAAAGATAGGAGGAAGGGAAAAATGAAGGGGAGAAATCGGAGAGGGAGATGAACCATGAGAGACTATGGACTCTGAGAAACAAACTGAGGGTTTTAGAGGGGGAGGGGGTGGGGGGATGGGTTAGCCTGGTGATGGGTATTAAGGAGGGCACGAACTGAATGGAGCACTGGGTGTTATATGCAAACAATTAATCATGAAACACTATATCAAAAACTAATGATGTAATGAATGGTGACTAACATAATAAAATTAAAAAAAACTGAACAGTACTCTTGACATTTCATTATTTTCTTGTAAATTTTGCTTTAAAAATATTCTACAGCTCACATTAACATAATTAACATCATACTTTTAAAAATTATAAATTAAAACAATGTTAAACATTTATTTACATGAGCAACTTCAATAAAAATTCAATGCTTTCGCTTGTCCCATGATATTACTATTAAAGAGAAAATTTTTTCTTTGTGGTTGGATTCATTGGTCAAAAGTAGTGACAATGAATGGTATTAGTAGACTAGGTATCCAGACAGGAATTCAATCTGACCTACATGCTTGTTACATTAAACAATTACATGTGGATTTTAGATCTAATTATGAAAGGTGAAACAACAAAGCCTCTAGAAGATAAAACAAGAGTATTTTCATGTTTTACTAAATAGGACATAGAATTATTAACAAAAAATTAAGTCTGATAAATTGGAGTGCATTAAAACTAAGAATTTTTGGGGATGCCTGGGTGGCTCAGTTGGTTAAGCCTCTGCCTTCGGCTCAGGTCACGATCTCAGGGTCCTGGGATCAAGTCCCGCATCAGGCTCCCTGCTCAGGAGGGAGCCTGCTTCTCCCTCTGCCTGCCGCTCCCCCCTGCTTGTGCTCTCTCGCTCTCTCTCTGATAAATAAATAAAATCTTTAAAAAAAAAACAAAAAACTAAGAATTTTTGTTAATCAAAAGATATCATTAAGAGAGTAAAGGGGCAAGACAAAGAGTAGAAGACATCTGAACCACATATAACTGACAAAAGCCATATATCTAAATAAAATACAGGGGGTGGAGATTACAAATTTAAAAATAAATAAATAAATGATAATAAAGACTTGAACAGGCATTTTACAAAAGAGGATATCCAAATGGCCAGTAAGCATATGAAAATAAGCTCAAAATAATTACTCACAGGGAAAATAAATTAGACTATACTGAATCAGTGGCTCTCAAATTTTTGAATTCTGAATTCCTTACAAGTCTTAAAAATGATGGAGGATTTCAAAGTATTTTGTTTATGTAGATATACCTACTGGTATAATAAAATTGAGAATTTTTAAAATATTTACTTATTTCATTTTATTTTTTTTTTAAAGATTTTATTTATTTATTTGACAGAAGAAAGACACAGCAAGAGAGGGAACACAAGCAGGGGGAGTGGGAGAGGGAGAAGCAGGCTTCCCGCTGAGCAGGGAGCCCGATGTAGGGCTCGATCCCAGGATCCTGGGATCATGACCTGAGCCGAAAGCAGACGCTTACCAACTGAGCCACCCAGACATCCCTCTTTACTTATTTCATTTTAAAATAGCAATAACAAAACCATAATATTAACATAAATAACACTTGATAAAAAGTATTTTCAAAATGAGAAGAGCGGCATTGTTTTATATTTTTACAAATCTCTTTAATGTCTGTCTTAAGAGAATGCATCTGGAGTCTGCATCTCTTTCTGCATTCAACTTGAGATAGCTACCATCATGAATTTCATGAACAATGCTAAGCCAAAGTCAGACACAAAGGTATATATTCTGAATGATTCCATTTACATAATATTCACAAACAGAAAAAAACTAATATGTTATAAAGAATAGTCACTTTTTGGGGGGGAAAAGAAGGATGTCTGAAATATTCTATTTTTTGTCTCAAATGAGGGTTACGTCGGTATGTTCATTTTATGAAAATTCAGCTTATGGACTTTTAGATTTCTCTTCTTATGTTTTACTTAAAAAGTTTTTTTTAAAAGAGTAACAAATAGTAACGATCTGTATGCTTTAACAATCTTTCCATAACGAAGCTCCTTCTTTGACGCTTAGCAAAACCTGAAATTTGTAAATCCTATTACTACCAATTTAGTTGGAAAGGTGTTTACTCTTGTCCCATATTTGCTGCCGACTACTTATGTGAGTATCAGTTGGACAAGCCATCAATTTCCTTGGGCCTCAGTAAAGTAAGACATTTGGAAGATACCTAAGATTCCTCTAGTTCTAACATTCTACTATTCTATCCTTGAATTATTAAGCATCAATAAAACCATTACAATTAAAACTTATTAGCAGCTGGTGACAACCATAAAACAAAAAAATTTAGTTCATATAACTTTGAGAAACTTAAAACCTAAATTTATAGTAGAACACTTTCCTTCAGAAGACCTATACTATTCATTACTGTATGTTAGACTTTTAGGTCTCCAATTATTTATTTCTCTTATAGCTTGGTATGTATGTCACATGTGGAACTTGCACACTTGAAACACCTGAGTTAAACAGAAGGATGGAAATAAAGTGTCATAGATAACAAGCTTACTCTTTAAGAGTAAGTTTATTATTTTTCTCAAGATTTTATTTTATTTTATTTAAAGATTTTATTTATTTATTCATGAGAGAGA